CTTGATATGAAGGAAGATTTAGTTTATAAGACAACAATAAAGTGTACAAAACTTGGAAATTTGGAGAGTACAGGAAAATATCTCTGCAAAATAAGATGTCAAAGGGAAATAAAATTAGTAAGATATAATTAGAAGTCAAGGGTGAGAGTAAAATTACAGTTGCAAGGTATTATACAGCAGGACAGTAGCATTAATATAATATCTGCACCTTGTCATGGTGGTGGGGCTTGAGTACCTCAGTGACCCCAAGAGCTGTGCTGGCGGTAGCATAGCTACAGGTAGGGCCTCCCTAGCCAGATTGGTCGAGGGGGAGAGGTCAGACTAAGACAGGTATCCTGGTCCTCCAGGTTGGGGGTTGGTCGCAAGACTAACAACCTCACACCGTAAAAAGGAAGATGTTTCGAAACCGCGATCAAAGCCTCGGACAGATGGACCTAACAGAGGACCGAATGGAAGAGGAGAATTGAGGAGGCCATGGACCGAATACGGACCGGAGAGCCATAGAATAATAATAATAATAATAATAATATCCGAGGACTAAAAAAACTCACAGACACAGTCTTATGTATAAGAAAACTCAACCGTTATTACTGTAAAGGAAAGTTTGCCTTTGAGCAACTGGAAATTTCTGCTGATGGTTAAAAAGTTATCCTTACCTTGTGCAAAGTGCAAACACAGCACCCACTGTCACAATCCACATTATAACAGGCCAGCCAACTTGTGTAAAGACATGAGGTAAAGGTGCATTTTCATCCTGAAACAATAACACGATACAGAGTTGAACAGTGGCACGTAAACAACTCCATCGCCAATATTTTTCCATTACCACTCAGTTCTTCAGTATAACACTCTACTATTGATTCAGTGTTTCGTCTGGTGACGGAACAATACATTACACAAAATTTAATATGAATGGCAGTCCTCCTAAATCAGTTACTATTCAGCTTATAATACGCGTCCTAGAAGTTCTTCATTATTTGTCCGATAACGTAATGCATTACAAACGATAGGAATAGCAACAATTTAGCAATAAATTACTAACCTGATAGTAATAAGGCCACATCATCGTGAGGACTGTTGAGATTCCGAAGTAAGAAATGAAGATTATAATCAGGGAAATTACAATGGCAATCGGAATAGATTTCTGCGGATTTTTTGCTTCTTCTCCTGAAAACATAGTCGGGAAAAAAAAAACAATGTTATAAAAATATGTACAAGTCTTACAATTATGATTATAGACTTGTTTTTGTGTCGGTCGTAGCATGACACTGCAGTGAGTTGACATTACTAGACTGTATGGGGTCTCAATGCAGCGCAATACAGCTGCAAGGAAAAATTCTGACTGTTCTGAGAAGCCTACACATTTCACAAAAACAATCGATCATTATAAAATGTTTCACAAAATAAACATCAGCTGTATAAAGGGTTAAGAAAGTTAATGTGCTTCGAAAGGAAAATTCTACGGAAAATCTTTGGCCCCCTAAAGAATAATGACGGATCGTATAGAATTAGATATAATGCGGAGTTAGAAGAATCGATCCGTCATGAGCACGTTGTGAGATATACCGAATCGCAACGGTTGAGATGGGCGGGACATGTGGTCGGAATGCCACATTTGGTATTAAACCAGAAATTGTGGGGAACAAGACCTAAAGGAAGACCAAGGGGAAGGTGGATTGATGCGATAGATGAAGATATGAGAAAGATGAAAGTGTGCAACTGGAAGAAGGTAGCTCAAGACAGGAAGAGATGGGGGCATATTGTTCGGGATGCCAGAGCCCACCAAGGGCTGTAGTGCAAATTTGTGTTGTTTTGTTACAATATTTTGAATTATTATTTTTTATTATTTATGCTTCTTCTCCCCTTCATTAGCCCACTAGCCAACACTCCGCTTCCCCATCTACTGTTTGCAAAAATCCAAACACAAATTTATTTGCAGTAGGAAACTGTGATGTAGACTGAATTGAACCAGTTTCACGCATAATCTTATGGTGGACTTTTCCAATTGTTTCCACCGAGCAACAAACTACTCAAATAATAAGAGCTACACAACATTACCGGTTGTTGCCACGCAGTCAAATCCAACAAAGCCATAGAAACACTTGGCTGCCCCTGCCATAACGCCTGCCAATCCAAAGGGCATAAAACCTCCTTCACCTGCTTTTGAAGCCACATCTGCTGGAATTTCTGATTTGGGAATATTCCAGTTGTGAAAATCACCTAAAAATAAATTAATACATTCGTGTATTTTCTTGCAGACCTATGAAATTCCTTTATCTACTGTTCTTAAATACATTGCTTACTGATAAATTAACATACCCGTATCACACATTTCAAATGAAATAAGCATGAGATATGGAGGAAAAAAATAAATAAATAAATAAACAAATATATATATATATATATATATATAAATAAAGTAATAACAACCAAAGTGTTTAAGTATTTGAAGATTTCTGTCTCCTGAGTTGTTGTGCTGCATAGTCTGGTCGATGGTTACCAACGTTTCGGAGGTCATACTGCCTCCGTCATCAGAGCGATGATGACGGAGGCAGTATGACCTCTGAAACGTTGGTAAACATCTACCAGACTACACAGCGCAACAACCCAGAAGACAGAAATCTTCATACTCATCGCCCTGATGATGGAGGCAGTAAGACCTCTGAAACGTTGGTTAACATCGACCAGACTACATGTGTAGTCTGGTCGATGTTAACCAACGTTTCAGAGGTCATACTGCCTCCGTCATCAGGGCGACTCTTAGTATGAAGATTTCTGTCTTGTGGGTTGTTCCGCTGTGTAGTCTGGTCGATGTTTGCCAACGTTTCTGAGGTTGTACGGTCTCCGTCATCAGGGCGATGACGGAGGCAGTATGACCTCAGAAACGTTGGTAAACATCGACAAGACTACACAGCGCAACAACCCAGAAGACAGAAATCTTCATACTTACCACTGTGAAAACCTCAAATCTTACACCTGTTTGTGTTTGCTTTTGAAATCTTTATTTTATTTATTTATCTAGCATTAAAGTCAGTTGTGGTAAATTATTAAAAATGTGTGATTATGTTAATATGTGCGTGTGGGTGAATGAGCAAACACTATTGGTTAAGGGATCAGATTGCATGAGACCGTGTTTAATATGCGTAGATTCTGACTTTTTTTTTTCAGTATGTCTGCATATAGGCCAACTTTCCCCAAGAACGCTGATAACATATCACTTGTAGATATGTTGGACTGTATTTGTGGTTTGCATAAATCCAGTATGAATCTAGGCCAGCTTCGAAAACGTGGCTCGCTATATCTTCAGAGAAACGTTTCACTTAATAAACTTTACACGAAAACGAAATTGTTATTTATCTGAATCATAATTTAAATCATCAACAGTAGTTAATCATTCTTTCACTCAACTATAAAACTTACTGTGCAAATGTTTTCTTTGCAGACTTACATTTTAAAGATCCTGCTATTATGACAATTGAGACCGTAAGCAAATTGACTACAGTGAATATGTTGTTGAGGATCGTAGACTCTTTCACGCCAATGGATAGGATACCTGTTGAAAGAAGGCAAAAGATTATAGTTCCATTTGAACTGCGACTAACAAGGAACTGTTCAGGAATCTGTAGAGACAGCAATATGAGACAATGGAAGATATTCTGCTAAGGATAAATCACGGTAATAGTATAGGGTGGTTAACTAATCTATTCTTAAATTCCGTAAATGTTCGTCCATAATATTTCAGATTTCATAAATATAAACCTTGTCTCATTACTTTCTCATTATCTGTTGAACTTATTCATAAATTACAATCTGTCCTGGCAGGTGGTAACTAGGGGAGCAACCCCTGTGGTCAAGATTTTGCAACTTGAAACTTACCTGCTAAGACAATTATCACTCCAAAGGATAAGAAGTCTGGATAATCGGAGAGAAAGTCAACGTTGATAGGCATGATTTCTCTCATCGTATTCTGCATCACATTGTCAGCGAGTTTATCGATGTAGCTGCTAAGGCCACGAGCCACACTCGCAGTTCCTAAATATAGAAAGAACAAAAATCTATTCATCCTTTAAGAAGACAGTTTCTCCACTGTAAAATAAGGTTAATAGTGTTAAAAGCTGTTGCTGTTTCACTTACAGTGGATTAGATTACTTTATTTATTAAATTTAAATAAATTACACAAATTACAATACTTTGTTGGGCAAATAATCAATCAGCATTTGCGGTATAGCCTGGAAAAACTGCTACGATACATTTGCAGTTCTATCTCTGTGCACACATCAGCAGACTAACAGGAAACTTGAAAATAAAAAAATTAAGAATCTGGGGTTGACTTTATGTTGCATGTGAATCATATATGCCTTAAAAGATGGCAGCACCATGCAATATGCTGTATTTTATTCTTAATTCTTCCTACTTTGTATCTCTGGCACAACAGTTTAACTTATTTTATTTAATTTTTAAGAAACAGCCTGGAAATTTCTGCATAGTCTGTAGCAATTTACGCAGCGAGAGTTGACGTTTGAAATCACTGGTCGATGTCAAATTTTGGCCATTTCTAAGTCTGGGAAATAATCTTAGTAACAACTGTGTGGACCTCAAAACGAATATGGTAATGAAGACAAATAAAGATTTTTTTTTAAAGCAACTGTTTATTTCACAAATTAATTTTCAATTGCAGCGCAACACTCTCGTCACTCACCTATAACATACTCGAGAATTAGATTCCATCCAATCACAAATGCTACAAATTCCCCCACACAGACATAGCTGTAGATGTACGCAGAGCCAGCTCGGGGAACTCTTGCTGCAAACTCCGCATAGCAGATGCCTGCAACACGCAAACAGGAACAGCATCCATTGATCTCAATGTCTGAATTTGTCGGTAAAATTAAAAGATTTGTAAGGTAAATTTATATTAAAAAGCAAATAATTGGTGAAATGGCGTAGACAGGTGCTAAGTGGCATTACAAAGTCAATGGACCTAGGTTTGAAGTCATGGAACTACGGTGTAAGATTACATTAGAGCATCATGCCGTGGATGTAATTAAATTATTAAAAAATATCTGTCTCCAAAGCACAAAAAAATATATATAATACAAATTCAAGCAATTCAATTTTACTTCGAGTCATTACGCATTGGACGACATGCATCAAAACCATTAGTCCATCTTCTGGCCCTTAATTATTATGATAAACAATGTGACAGTAACAGCTTCTAGTCTCAAAGGTATGCACAGTTTAAAATAAAACCATCTTCAGGGAAATCTATCTGTAGGTTAATTTAAAAATATACAAATTTAATTACTGGCAGAAATGAGTCTATCCATAAGCATTTTTCTCAAGAATTAGTGTAACAAAGAAGTTTTTATTGTAAGAGGTAATGGAAATGTGTAATAGAATATCAAATCTAAAACTTCTTGACGATGGTGAAGAGTCATTTGAATAAAAATTTCCTTGGATATTATCCATCGTCTAGTAAATATAAAACGTGAAACGACGTTTCGGAGATGGGACTCTATCTCCGTCTTCAGGTTCCTACACAGTTGGGCCCACTAGATAGAGCTAATCAGAATATTTCCTGCACCTGATGTATTCAATACCTGCTTTATACTCCCTTTCCAACAAACTTATGAATTAATTTTGAGGAGTTCTGAAAGTTTTGAATAATTTAACTACCTTCAGTGTGACAAAACTATCTCCAAAAATTCCACACTGAATGCATACATGTTACCATTAAAGTGTATTACACCTTAAACTTTTGAATTTCTTAAATGACTTCAATGAAGCCCAACACAAAACGAGTGTTCTGAAATCTAACATGGAATGTGATAACAACATCCAAACCAGGGCATGCACTCAAGAAAAATTCATTCATGGTAATGAGACTGGGTGAGAATGCCGTTTCATGACGGCACTGGAAATAACGAACGGTGAATTTTAACTAGACATGTGAAGAGTAAAATATACTGGACTGTGTCTCACGAGTGTCAAAAAGGACGTCAAATTGTGTCAGTTAGTGTCGAACACTTTTCAAACTGCCGTTTACCATTTTGTGTGATTGTAACAGGAACTCAGGAGGTTAGGTATTAAAGTATTCGAGTACATTTGATATTCACTAATTGTTTCACCTCCCTAATAGGTAAACAATGTTATATAATTGTACACCTCCCTAATAGGTAAACAATGTTATTACTAATTCAAGTTTAAGCTCAATAGAATAGCAGCTACATGTTTTCAGTAATCAAACTGTAACCTATTTGGAAAGGATTCACACTTCCAAGAATAAACGTCTCACTCACGGATCTGAACAATTTCAATCAGCTACAAAACAATAATGAATGTAACTGAACATTTCAAAATACATAACTTCTAATCATATCAGTTCTGTCATTTCCCACCAGAGGAAAAGTTATTTAAAATTTTCAACTCGGATGCATATACACAAAAACACATAATAATTTTGCTAGAAAGATTAGTTTTTGTTCTGAAATTACTAGACAGTTCTTCCATCTGTGACACATTTATTTCAGAACTGTACACTACATACATATTGTTCTTATGTTAACAATTGTCATTAATCTTCAATGATAAATCAGTTGATGTAAACAGGCCAAATATTTATATAAAATCCCAAGTACCCCAGCTGCTTTAAATTCAGTTGTATTTGTTCTTAGTAACAATAATTCTTAACAAGACACTCACTTCAGTTGCCTTGGTTTATATTTGCAACATCACCCTTGCAATATAATGAAAAGTATGTTTATTATTTCACTATTCCTTACATAAGATACTCATCTGTTTAGTAAGCAACATTCACAGTAATCTTCTGTTCCGTACTGTCTGTTGTTTCAGAAATAACATAAACTTTATCTGATGTTTCTCTCAAGTATACTTATTTCTCCTTTATGATCTGCTGTTTGTAACCAGGAGACAGATATTTATGTAGAGACTGTGCATACAGAGGTAACCGTTGTGTCATTTGGAATCCCCAGTAATCTCTCATCTGTCTGCAAATGTTAAGATCCAATTCAGCCACCATCAAACCATCTCGAACACGACTGAGTCCTGGTGTGCGGCTGCCATCTGGGGCAGCTACGTAGCTAGACCCATAAAAATGCCCAAAATCTTTGTGGGCAGGTTGCCCATTTCCAGACGAAAATTCATTGGGGTACAACTCAGTTCCGACTCGGTTAATGGCAAAGGTGAAATACCCATTCGCGATGGCCGCATTACGTGCTTCGATTCCCCATAATGGTTCACTAAGTTTACCAACAGTTGCAGATGGATTGAAGACAATCTCAGCTCCATTTAATCCAAACATGAGCCAATTAAGTGGATGATGTCGACCATAGCAAATGTTCACAGCGATTCTTCCAAACTTGGTTTCAAAAACTGGATGTCCTGTGTCTCCTTCCATGTAATACGTGGACTCGTTGAAATCTCCAATTCTGGGGATGTGGTTTTTTCGGTGTTTCCCCAACACCCGACCAGTATGAGAGATCACAACAGCAGTGTTCCACAGGATGTCTTCGCGGTCCACATCCCGTTCCAAGATGGGGGACACTATGACCATATTGTACTGCCGACAGAGACGCTGTAAGAAATGCGTGCTCGGTCCGTCATCAGCTGATTCGGCCAGCTCGCACCATGGTTCCTTCTCTCGCGTACAGAACATGAACGGGCATGGCCAAGCCTCTTGGAGACACAGCACGTTGACTCCACACAAAGCTGCCGCCTCCACAATAGTCGCAACACGCTCATGGATCGCGTCTCTTTGAGCCTTCAGCGAGGCACTTGTTGGAAGTACAATGTGGTTCTGAATTATACCCACTCGAATAACTCTGGGAGCCCGTAACTGCTCAGTTTGGGCTTCGAACTTGAAACCCTGAATCTCGAAGTCGTGATTCACAGCAAGTTTCTCAGCTTCGACGGGAATGCTCAGGGCTTGCAATTCTTTCCCGTAAAACAGCCTTTTCACCTCTACCAACTGTTCCGCGGGCAAATGCTCAGATAACACTTTCTCCACACTTTCAAACTCTTCAGTCGAGGACGCCATTACAGTTGTGTGTAGCGCTCAGTCAGACATTAGTACCAAACTGATAGTGCCTATTTATAACTCCGCGACACGTGACACACACTTACGTAACACACAGTCTCACTCGCACAACAAACAGGACAATCTTCATCGAACACGAAGAGGGAGAGGGGAGACAAATCAACTTTGGCCAGCGGATCCCCAGTTCAAATCCCGGCCGGAACTTATTTCAACAAACGGTTTCCGTGTTTTATTTCAGATCCTTCGTCTGACCACATTGGATCAGAAAACCACATTCATCCGGGTCCATCCTTCAAAATTATCCTCTCAATTGATACAGATTCGTGATACGAAGGTATAAAGTAAACACAGTCCTCGTGAAACATTGGCGCAGTCAGATTATAGACTGGAGTGTCAGCTCGTGCGACCTGGACGAAAACGGGTGTGGTCACTTCAGAAGAATGTCCGGGAGTACTTTTAAAACTATCCAGTATGCGGACTGGATGGCCTGGGATCGATTCTCTGCATGGGAAGAGTAGTCTCTTCGTCAATGGTCCATACCGGCACTTGGGCCCATCCAGATTCTTATACAGCGGGTACCAGAAACAGATTCACCACGCACCTCCACCTGGTTACCGCTAGATTCGAAACCTAACCTAACTTTGCAAGACCAGAAAACCTTTAGCACCAGTAGCTTGTCATAAAACGGTGTTACGCGTAACAAAATGTAGATCAGTGAAAGGAACTTGTACTTTCACATATTAAAAAGTTTTTTTGTAACAAGAAACCCGTTAAAACATTATGTACCGATAAAACAAAGGACGCCACGGTGGTCTAGCGGTCAGAACACTAGCCTTGTAAGCCTGGGGTCCCGGGTTCAATTCCCGGTGGTGCTCAAATTTATAACTTGTGTTGGGCAAGGCCGTGGTCTATTCAACACGGAGTTTTCCTCCGTGGCATCCCAGCAATTACTCCATTCACACACAGAAGAAGGCAATGGCAAACCACTTCTGGATCATCTGCCAAGAACGTATATGAACAGGTCCCAGTCCGAGAAACGGATGGAAGGATCCTGTTCATATGGACCTGTCGTCACACAGAACACTACAAATAAAAATAAAAACAAAGGAATATAGTATTACCCGAAAGAAAGAAAGAATTTTCAAATAAAGCAGTTCCATATTCATAATTCAGTTTTCATTCAGCCTAAATAAAAGTATGTATCCCTGTGCCCCCTTCCCCCAATTACATTCCGAAAACTAATATAAATACACTGTACATACAAACAAGGAGTTGGTCTTCATTACACACATCAACCAATTGTACACGATTCCACACGTTGGTTGGATATTACAAAGCCACGAAAGCAAACATAGATATTATTTCCTTAGATTTATTTTTTATATTCTATTTTAACCCCACGTGGCCGCTTAAATTACATAAGTGTTAAACACTTTAAAACTTTTCAGGTTATAATATTTGTAATTACAAGAACTTGCAGTAGATTTCAAAGGCCAAGAACACCTCACTGTTTGGCATAAACATAGATACGAGGTGCGATCAGAAAGTTTCCAGACTGCGCCTATAAAAACCCGTACACTTATCTCAGGTATTAAATTCATCCATCACCCTCGAAGTAGTTCCCCTGGGAGTGAACACAACGATCCCAGCGCCGCT